TACTTTTACCCATCAATGTCTTTATATTTAAAGTATATTTCTTGTAAACATCATATAATTGAGTCATATTTTGTTATGCAGTCTGATGATCTGTATTTTTATTGGAGTGTTTAGCCCATCTATATTTAATATAATTATTAATATATTAATTAATTATTAGATTTGTTTACCTTTTTTTTTCTTTTGAGGAAGATTAGCCCTGAGCCAACATCTGCTGCCAATCCTCCTCTCTTTGCTGAGGAAGATTGGCCCTGAGCAAACATCTGTGCCCATCTTCCTCTACTTTATATGTGGAACACCTGCCACAGCATGGCTTGATAGGCAGTGCATAGGTCCATGCCTGCGATCTGAACCGGTGAACCCCAGGCCACCAAAGCTGAGTGCGTGAACTTAACCACTGCACCACTGGGCCAGCCCCTTAAGTTTGCCATTTTGGTGCTTGCTTTTCTATTTGTCCCATCTATTCTTTGTTCCTCTATTCTTTTCTTGCCTTTTTTATTGTGAACAGAATATTTTTTAAGATTACATTTTATTTCTCTTAATGATTTTTTAGTTACTCTTCTTAGTACTTTTTAAAAGTAGTTTCTTTAAAGATCAAAATACGCAGCTTAACTTACAACAATCTTCAGAAAATACTCTACTACTTCACGAATAAAGTAAGAAGTTTACAATAGAAACACACATTTAGCCCCTCTCAACCCTTTGTACTCCTGTTGCTAAATATTTTATTTTTATATTGGCTATAATTTCCATAATATATTGTTAATATATTTATTTTAAATAATCAGTAGTCTTTTAAAGAGATTTAAATGTCCTTTATATTTACTAATGTATTCACCATTTACATACTATTTGCAGTGCTATTTGTTCTTTCCTAAATAACCAGGTTTCTATCTGATATCATTTCCCTTACTCTTCAAGCTTACTTTTAACATTTCTTGTAGAAGAGATCTACGGGAGAGGAATGCTCAGATTTTCTTTTGTCTGAAAATGTCTTATTGCATATTCATTTTTGAGGGATACTTTTGCTGGCTATGGAATTCTGGTTTGAGGTTTTTTTCTTTTAGCACTTTAGCAATGTTACTCCACTGTCTTCTGGCTTCCATTTTTTCTGACAAGAAGTCTGCCGTAATTTGTATTATTATTCCTTGGTGTAAATCTTTCTACTCTAGCTGCTTATGGAAATGTTTTGCCTTTGGTTTTCTGCAATTCAAATATTATATGCCTAGTGGCAGCTTGCTTTGTGTTTATCTTGTTTGGCCTTCTCTAAGGTTCTTGGATTTGTGCGTTACTGTCTTTGATCAATATTGGAAAATTCTTAGCATTATTTCTTCAAATGTTTGTTCTATCCCAATCTCTCTCTTCTCCTTCTATGATTCCATTTATAAGTATGGTATGTAATTGTATGCATGTCATCCCAATCATATGGATTTGATATTGTTTTACTGTTCTTGGATGCTCTGGGTTTTTTGTGGCTCTTTTTGAATTCTTTCTTCCCTTCGTGTTATAGTTTGGATAATTTTTAATTACCTATCTTATATTCACTGGAGTTTTCCTTTGTTGTGTTAGCACATACACCTCCCACAAGAAATATAATAGTCTCAAAATAACAATGGCAGTTTCACTAGGAGTAGTTAACACTAACATTTGAATTTTTGTCCTTAGAATATGTCCTCACTAAGAAACTATGGTCAAAATGTTGTGTTTTATAGTCACTTGATATAATTCTTGTTTATGTGGTTATTTTTCCACTTTTATCATAGGTAGGTTTATTTGTTTCATTTAGCACACACACACATATACACCTATATATCTATATATTAATATAGATATATTTAATTTTTAGAGGAGGATTTGTTTTGTTTTTATTTTTGGTTTAATTTCATTTTTAATTAATAAAATCTTATATAGTTGCACAGTCAAAACTATAAAATGAAGATCATTCAAAGAAGCTTAGTTTTTATCTCTGTTGTATCCACACAATTTCCTCCCCATCCATATACACATATTTTTAACATTTTTGTTTTCTCCTGCCACTTTTTCTTATTAAAAGTATTCTCTATCCTTTTGTTAAACAAAATGTTGCTTATCATAAACAGTGTGCTGTACTTTGTCTTTTTAACTCAACAATATATCATGAAAAACACTTCAGAGCAGTATATCAAGTTCTTTCTCATTTTTTAAATATTTTTCTCTCTTAAAGCTCTCTCTTTTGTGTAGAAATACCGTAGTTATTCAACCAGTTCCCTGCTGATGACCATTCGAGTTGCTTTCAGTTTTTTGCAATTACAAATAATGCTGCAATAAGTGGTCTATGCACATACCATTTCACACTTTGCCAGCATAAACGGGGATGGCTAGGTGAAAGGGTAAACATATGTAAATTTGATAAATACCCTAAATTCTCTCCATAGGAATGCACCATTCTGTTTCTTCCTAACAATAATACAATCTCACCAATAAGATATGCTGCCAAACTTTTCCCAGTCTCTTAAGAGAGAAATTTTATCTCTAGGTAGTTTTAAGTTGCTTTGCTCTTATTTTGAGTGAGGTTGAGCATCTTTTCATATTTACAAAGGTCATTTGTATCTCTGTTTCAGTGAACCATCTGTTCATATATTTTGTCTATTTTTTTCTATTGGATGGCATTGTAAACGGAATTATTTTTATAATTTAAAATATAGATTTATAATTTATAGATTGCGTTATTCATTTGTCTTTTAAATAATATAGGAAATAAAAAGTGTTATGCACCAAAAATAGAATAATACTGGCTTTTATATTTACCTACATAATTACTTTTGCCAGAGTCATTTATTCCTTCTTAAGGCTTTTAGTTTGCTGTCTAATGTCTTTTCATTGTAGCCTGAAGGACTGTCTTTAGCATTTCATATAGGGCAAGTGTACTAATAACAGACTCACTCAGCTTTTGTTTATCTGGGAACGTCTTAATTTCCTACTTGTTTTTGAAGGATAGTTTTGCTGGATATAGAACTTTTGATTGAGAGATTGCTTTTCTTTTATCACTTTAAAAATGTCACCCCATTCTTTTCTGGCTTCCATGGTTTCTGGTGACAAATTGGTTATTAAGTTTGAAGATCCCTTATATATGACAAATCACTCCTCTATTGCTGCTTTTAAGAGTCTCTCTGGCTTTTGACAATTTGATTATAATGTGTCTCAGTGTGGATCTCTTTGTTTTTATCCTTCTTGCAGTTTATTGAGCTTCTTGGATATATAGATTTGTGCCTTTGGTCAAATTTGGGAGGGTTTTGGCCATTATTTCTTCAAATATTCTTTCTGCCTTTTTCTCTCTTTTTCTGGGACTTTCATTAACTGTACATTAGTATGCTTGATGGTGTCTCATGGGTCCCTTAGGCTCTGTTCATTTTTCTTCATTTTTTTCCTTCTGTTCACCATACTTGATAATTTCAACTGACCTATTTTCCAGTTCTCTGATTCATTCTTCTGCCTATTTAAATCTACTATTGAAAACTTCCAGTAACTTTTTCATTACAGTTGTTGTATTTTTGAGCTCCAGAATTTCTTTTTGGTTCCTTTTTGTAATTTCTATCTCTTTATTGATAATCTCTATTCACACATCATTTTACTGGTTTTCTTTCACTCTTTTTCCATGATTTTCTTTAGGTATTTGAGCATATTTAAGATAGTTAATTTAAAGTATTTTTCTAGTAAGTCCAATGTTTGTGCTTCCTCAGAGACAATTTCTGTTAATTTCTTCTGTGAACAAGTCATATTTCTTGTTTCTTTGCATGTTCTATAATCTTTTGTTGAGAACTGGACACTTTGAATACAATAATGTGGTAAGTCTAAAAATCAGATTCCTCCCCCTTTTTAAAGTTTGTTTTTGTTGCTTGCTGTGGGCTGTAGCTGTTGGTTTGTTTAGTAACTTTTCTAAACTATTTTTGTTAGGTCTGTATTCTTTTTCATGTGTTGACTTTGAAATCTCTGCTCCTTTAGTTTGTGATTAATCAGTGTTCTGACAGAGATTTCCACATATACTAGCAGAGAGAGAGAGATAGGAGAGAGGGAGGCAAAGAGGGAGGGAGAGAGAGAGAGAGAACAAAACCTTTCTGAGTCTTTTCACATCGCCTCTATGCAAGGGCACCCCTTCAAAGATTACCCAGGCCATTTAAAAACTCTGCCCTAGCCTTCACTTCCTGAATATGTTGCACCTAGAGATCAGCCAGAGGTGAAAGCTTAGGGTCTTCTGGGGTTTTTTCCAAGGATGTGTCCTGCCCTGGGCAGGCAAATGACTTTCTAAATTCCCCAGAATACACAGGCAGTTTTGAATGCCTTAATTTCCAAAAGAAATTAGGCTCATTTTTTCCAAAAGGAAAAAAGCTGCTCCCTTCAGCTTTTCCTATTTTTGCCATTTTTCTATGAGTTTGAACTTATTTACAATAAAAGAGCATAGATCTTGAGGGGAAAGAGTCTTGGGTTCAAACCCAAGCTCTGCCATTTGCTTGCTGTATGATCTTGTGCAAGTTACTTTCATTGGTTTTCAGTGCTCTCAGCTGTAAAATGAAAATTATACTACCTACTTTCCTGGATCGTAAGTTTTAAGGTTAACATTTGCTTTGCACATAGTGGGTGCTTAATAAATGGTAGCTATTATCATTCTTATTCATCATACTGGGCTTGTATTCAGTAAAAAGCTAGCCTATTGCTGAATTTGGCACAAGAGCCAGAGATTGCTGATAACTTAAAAATGTTATAACTCTGACTCCCACTTTTATTATCATGCTAGGTGAAAAAAGTACCATGCCTGCTTTGGATCTGAGCATTTTTAAAAACTGGAATGAAGGCAAACTAGGACAGATAGGTTTAGAGATGCAATTTGAATATGTTCCAGGGAAATCTCTATTGCAACAGGAAAGATTCCTTCAATACTATGAAAACTAACCTAAGTTAGGAAACCTAAAGCAAAAATAATTGATAATACAACAGGAAATTGCCATTAAAAAGATCTAGCATACCTTAAGATTAAGTGCATTTCTTCCAAACATTTGACAGTTTGATATGGCCAGGTTGGTCACGGCTGTTAATGTTTCATATTGTGTTGCCACAATAGTCTTAAAGGCTTCACCATATACGACATATCCCTCTGATTTTTGAGGTTTAATGGGACCAACATAAATAAAATAAAACATGAAAGTTAAATGTATTATCACTTAGAGTGAAAGCTAAAAGGCATTTATGTTAGGTAACAATGAGTCGTCATAAATAGGTTGGCTGCACACATCTTCTAGAAGAGATTCCCCACAACCTTCACCCATCCACTCTCAGCTGGTCTGTTTGCCAAATTGTTTTTTTAAAAAGAATATTAGATAGCACAATTGTCGTTCAAAAAGAAAACCATATGCTCATAGATTTCTACCTGCATTATTTAGAGTCCATAAATCTCAGTTTTCTTGTACTATATGTAAAAACATTTTTTAAAATTTTACTATGAATTACATAAACAACTTCTTGCTTCACAAAACTAGTGAAGGACATCATATAAACATCACTTAGATAGAGATCACCTCCTCAGGAGCACTCTCACTTTTTTCCCTAATATCACCTTGATGCATGTTTCAAACGCCCCTTGTAATTCAATTCTTCCCTTAGTTTGAAGACTTCACACAAGAAAGGGCAAAAACCCAAACAACTCAGGAGTGAGCCAAACAGAGACCATCTAACTTTACTTTATCATGACCCTTGTGGGTTTCACCTTCCATCAAAATGGCCTATCCAAGTACACATCTAAGAGCAGCAGGAAAATATTTTGAAATTTTATGAAATATATTTTACATTCCCAGCCATTCTTGCTGCATTACTTGAAGCAACATATTTTACAGTCTCAGTAATTTTTATGCAGTGAAAGGAAATAACGCATCCTAGAGCAAAGAAAACAATGTTCACTTTTTAATTTCTAAAATAGGCCCTGTGCACCCATTTCAGATCAATAGATGTGAAAGTTAAGCACAGAATAAATGATGGTGTATAATATGATATAGAGATTCCTTGTCTTGGGAGAGAGAATGGAGCAAGAAGGAAATGAGAGTGAGTTAAGACATAAGTCTGTGGCCTGCTTCCAGCTCACCCACCCTCATGGTTTAAGCCCAGGCAGATGGTTTTTGAGTGGAAAGGAGGGAGATAGAGGTGAGGAGGTGGTTAGAAATCCCCTGATAGATCTCTGAAAGATCTGTTCACCCAACTCACCTGAAACTTTTCAAAGAGGAAACCACCAGACTGGAATAAACTCAATACATCAGAAATGGCAGCATGACTTGTTTAGACTTATGATATGGAGGAGACCCAAAAGTTAATTTATGTCACAGACAGTGATACAGAACTACTGGGAGGATAATGGGCTCAGAAACTCCTAAGGTTGCTATAGTTAACAATACTATATTGTATATTTGAAAGCTACTAAGAGAGCAAATCTTAAAAGTTCTCATCATAAGAAAAGAATGTAACTATGTGAGGTGATGGATATTTTTTTCTGTTCTAGAATTTTATTTGACTCGTTTTTAAAAACAAAAATTCCAGTTGTCTGGTAAAATTCTGCAACTTTTTCTTTTTTTTTTTTTTTTAACATCTGTGCCCATCTTCCTCCACTTTATATGCAGGATGCCTGCCACGGCCTGGCTTGACAAGCAGTGCGTAGCTCCGCACCCAGGATCTGAAGTGGCAAACCCTGGGCTGCTGAAGTGGAGCACACGAACTTAACCACTACACCACTGGGCCAACTCCATTTTTCTTTATTTTTTTGAACATAGCAATCATAGTTATTTTAAAATCCTTATTTGAAAACTCCAATATCTGAATCTATGGGTCTGTTTCTTTTGTCTCTTTCTACCGGTTTTCAGACATTTTATCCTGTTTTTAGGATGCCTTGTGATTTTTTAAATTTACCACTGGACATTGTAAATGAAAATTTTAAAGGGTCTGGATAATACTATCTCTCTCTAACAAATGTTGGTTTTCTTTGATGAAGAAGGAAATATTATCAAGGATTGATTTTGAGCTTTATCAGTTATCATCTATTTTTGTTTTGCCTTTTCTCATAGAACATCATCCTTATTCCTAAGGTATAGGTCCTCTGAGTCTTCACCTGAAAGCCCAGGTGTGTTCACAAAGGCTCCTCCACTTTGGCAAAGCTTGAACTCCGATAACCATTTCCTGTACAACTGTGAAAAATCTATGCTCAGTTCCTTAGCATTAGCTGATGTTACCTGCTGTGTTTCTTAGAGTATTATCCTGCACATGCACAGCTTAGAATTGTCCTGCACATGCACAGCTTAGAAATCAGCCCGATACCCTTAAGGGAGTTTGTATGCAGATATTTGGATTCACTTCTCTCCTCTTTGAGATTTTGCCCCTTGAGGCACAGCTAAATTGGCAGCTCTGAAGTCTGACTGCTATCTCCTCAATCCAGTACTACTACGACTTTCTAATTGTGCTTATTCTCCAGCACCACAAATGCCCTGAGGCAAAGCCTCAGGTAAATGTAGAGCAAACTCATAAACTTCCCTTTTTTCAAGGATCGTAGCCATTCAAGTCATGCCTGCAATGGTTACTCTCCAGTAACTTCAATAGCTATTTTATATATTTTGGGCAGCTTTAATAGTTGATTTTGGCGGGAGGGTTTGTCCTATACAAGCTGCTCAATCTTGGACAGAACCAGAAGTGATGAAGTTATTTTAAAATCTGTATCTGATAATTGTCATACCTGGAACTCCTGTGGGTATGTTTCAAATTGCTTAATGTTTCCAGTAGTTTTCATTCATTTTGTCTTTCTCTTAGTGTGCCTGGTAATTGTGAATGGTTTACTACTCATTGTATTTGTGAAATTGTTTATAGAAGTAATGTGAGGTCTAGGATGATGTAATCTTTCTTTAAAGGTGACTTTTCACTGTTTCTGCTAGGTAACTAAGGTGAAAGCACTTAGAACAGTGCCTGTCAGAAGGCAAGTAGTTAACTCTCATTATTGCATGTCTATCTGCCCCACCCATCTTAAGAATACTCCACCTTTCATGTTCCCAATATCAGTACAAAGTTTGGTTCATAGTCAATATTCAAAAAACAGTTGCTGAGTAAATGGCTTAAGGAACTGAAAATGAGGTGAGACACGTGTGAATCACACACATATACACATTCACACAGAATCCTGAATACTTTTATAGAGAGAGAATCTAATATACAATTTTTAAAAGAATGATGCAAATTTAGCATTTACCTTCAGTTGGGCTTGGTGGTTTTTGCTGTGAGACACTTTCTACATTTTCAGATTCTGTTGCAAGAGTTTCTAGAAAAAAGAAAAAATGAGACTTTTGGATACTTGTGAAATTTCATGTTGGGGGTGTTATGATTTCATTAGAATTATTCATCTTTTAAGGAGTTGGGATTATCCATGAGAATGTGCCCATTAAGGCATCCATCAGCATTGGCATTCTGCTCCTAGAGTTCATCTAGATCACCTTCTGAATAATTGTTCATTCTCACTGCTCCTTTATATTAGCTTTTCTGATCCTTTGCACTCCCTTATCCTCTTCCCACCACTATCACCTGGGTCAAATACCCAGTTTGACCTTGGCAGACCTGCAAGGTCAGGACTTCTGTTACTGCATTCTGGCCCATGTATTAAAGGTAGAGGTAAAAAGTGATCCCAGGGGCTGGCCCAGTGGCATAGTGGTTAAATTCATGCATTCTGTTTCGGCGGCCTGGGGTTTGAGGGTTTGGATCCCAGGTGTGGCACTACACATCGCTTATCAAGCCATGCTGTGGAGGCATCCCATGCACAGAATACAGCAAGAATGGCATGGATGTTAGCTCAGTGACAATCTTCCTCAAGCAAAGAGAGGAGGATTGGCAGCAGATTTTAGCTCAGGGCAAATCTTCCCCATAAAAAAAAGTGATCCCACCATCCCACTCTGCAAACCCAAGGTGGGGGGCCACCATTTGCTTGCATGCCTTCTCTCCTCTTTGCCTTACTTGACCCCATTATTATATATTATGTTCAGAATGGATTTACCTATCACTGACTGTCTTCGAGGTTTTCTTGGTAAAAGTGGCCTTGGCATGGAAAAAGAACCTGAAAAAGGAGTGACATTTAGTACCATTGCAGTAGTTTGTTGTGAACGTTCAGACGACTGTCCTCCCACTTTAAGAGGTGTAACTCTTGGTAGAGGGCTTGGCACTGCTGTTTTTAAATCTAACAGAGGTTGCTTAAAAATATAGGTTCTACTCCTCAGTATATGTAGATACTCAGACTGAATTTCCAGGGGTTTAGGAGTGATAACTGGGGAAGGTCTGGAGCGTGATGGGGAGAGAATCAAAATGTCTGTTTGTACCCGATCAGCATAAATAGGTTCTATTTTTGATGATTTTCTTCTGGATTTTCTTGTAATTTCCATTTGGCTTGTTTCTTTCCCCAAAACTTGAGGTGAAACTGAAGGAGAACTTGGAAAAACTATAGAACTGATAGCAGTCTTTGCACGGTGCCAATAGGCTTTCTTAGAAGAGAGTTTGGGTGTTGAAATAGCAGTCACTGTTTTTGGTACAAGATCATCAAGAAAGAGATTTTGGATATTGATTGGGGTTTGTAGTTGATTTGTTGAAACATCAGGAAAACTAGTTTTATCTCTTTCAGTTGAAGTGGTTTCATCTTGAGTGAACCTTACACGTGGTGGCTTAGTTTCAACAGTCTTGGCTAAACCAGAAAAAGAAAAAAACACAATTAGATTATATTTATCAAGATGTCAGGGACAAAACTGTTAATGTCTTAGCATTTATAGCTCTTCTCTATCCACTTACCCCTCTCTCACCTTCTAAAAGTATTTCTGTATATAACTTGCTCAGTTATCAGGACTTTTGTTTAGCTGCCTGGGATAGTGTCTGAGTGAACAACTGGAGAAGTGAAACGACTAAATTTTACTAGATTTAGAAAAGGTAGGGTGCTACTCTTGGAAGAACAGAATTGATGGAGAGAAGAGTAGGATATTAAGGGAGATGTTTGAGTAGTTGCCACTAAAATTCTGGCACTATGGATGGGTAAAAATGATTTTGATAAAATTTTGCTATTTATCATTATCTTTTCCTCATTTGAAACTTCTTTGAGCAAAGATTTAGATTTCTTTTCAATGCAAGATGTCAGACCAAGCTGTCTTTTGAATGTGATAAAATTCAGATACTGGCTACAAGGTACCACAAGTTCATTTAGGTGACAACAGTAAGTATTCTTTTCTCTCTTATGTCCAGAAAATGCATTATGCCTGCATTCTTAGGTACCTCACTACATCAAATATTCTTTCTCTTTCCTACGTGACAGAATGTTAAATGATGTTTTTTTCTATTGTCTCAGTTGAGTACAATAAATGATGAGGACCTCTACATTCTAATAAGGAGATAAGAGATTTATCAAAGCAAGACTCGCAAAGGGATGGTCAAAACAAATCCAACTCTCACCCACCTGTTGTCTCTATATAAGAAGTGGCTAGAGATTGATCTGGGTTCAGAGAGAGGATTTCTTCCGAATAGAGCTACTGGAGCGCTATATGCATTCCTGATCTTCCCCTCCCCATGGTGGGCGAAGGAGAATGATTTTCCCTGACCTCAAACCAAGTGAGGGGGATTCTCAGAGAACCATTTATAGAAGACAGGAGTGGATTCTACAGGAGAAAATAACATTTCACCACTCCCCTACCCACCTCCCTCACTGAAAAGCAAAAATGTATCGGCCTTCCCAGTGTTGTGTCCCAACTGGAGTACGGCAAAAGAATCCTTGAGACTACTTGACCTGTATCTCCTGGCGTTTTGCGGGGGTACAGAAACTGATGCCTGGGTCTCATCTTAACTCGTAACTCTTAATTCCTTAACTCTTCCCCATTTCTAGCCCCAGAGATGGAGGAGTCAGAAACTATAATATGAGTTGGGAAAGAGAAGTAAAAGAACAAGGTGGAAGGACTTATCATGCTCCTGTTTCCCTTGGCTTGTCGAAAGGCTAGCAGACCTAGTTTGAGCTGGGAGAAGGGGTAAGGTTTGACTGCAGGCTAGATGAAAGTGTTGATTTAGATTAGACTAGTTGTTTAATATCTGAAAATGAGACAAGGTGAATAGATGAAAGTGACTTTAAAAAGCCTTGGGAGAGAGATATGCGCCATGAGAGTTTGAAGGCGGGAGTAGGAGAAGAATATTATATGCTTCCTGTTTATATGGAACTAATCAAAGCCAGCTCATTCAATAAAATGCTTACGCCACTATCTTCAACTTTATTTTTTCTGTCTCCCGTCTTAGAAAAAACATGATAACATGAGAAAAAACCTCAATAGATTCCAGAACTCCTTCCAACCACCACCATCCCACCATATTTATCCTTCTCTTCAGTAGCAAACTGAAGTAATTTACATTCATTAGTTTGACTACCTCTCCTCTCATCTCTGTTCTGTTTGTTGTTTCATTTTATTTATTCTCTCTTTCTATTAAATTAGTAGACTTTATTTTTAGAATAGTTTTAGATATAAAAAAAAAATTGAGCAGGAGGGCATGGTTAGCATATACTCCCCTCTCCTGCACAGAATTTCATCTATTATTAACATCTTGCATTAGTGTGGTACATTTATTACAATTAATGAAACAATGTTGATATGTGATTAATTAAAGTCCATGTTTTACTCTTCGTGTTTTACAGTTCTATAGGTTTTGACAAATGCATAATGTCATGCATCTACCGTTACAGTATCATACAAATTTTCATCACCCTAAAAATTCCCTGTGCTTCATCTATTCATCTCTTCCCCCTCTCCCTGAACCTCTGGAAGCCACTGTTTTTGGGGGTTTTTTTTTACTGTCTCTACAGTTTTGCCTTTTCCAGAATGCCATGTAGTTGGAATCCTACAGTATGTAACCTTTTCAGACTGTCTTCTTTCACTTAGCAATATGCAGTTAAAGTTCCTCTATGTCTTTATATGGCTAGATAGCTCATTTATTCTTATCATTAAATAAAATTCCACTGTGTGGATGTACCACAGTTTGTTTATCTACTCATCTATTGAATTGCTTCTGGTTTGAAGCAATTACAAATAAAGTTGATATAAATACACATGTGCAGGGTTTTGTGTGGATGTAAGTTTTCAACTCAATTGGGCAAATGTCCAGGAGTTCAACTGCTGGATTGTATGGTAAAAGTATGTTTAGCTTTGTACAAAACATCCCAAGGGTCTTCAGAAGTGGCAGTACCATTTTGCATTCCCTCCAGCAATGAATAAGAGTTCTCGCTCCTCTCCAGCATTTGGTGTTGTCAGTGTTTTGGATTTTAGCTATTCTAATCAGTCTGCAGTGGTAGCTCATTGTTTTAATTTGCAATTCCCTAATGGCATATGATGTTGAGCATTTTTCATAAGCTTATTTGCCCTCTTGATATTTTCTTTGGTGAGGTGTCTGTTCAGATGTTTAGCCCACTTTTTAATTGTTTTTTTTTCTTATTATTGAGTTTGAGTTCTTTTTTATTTTGGATGCAAGTCCTTTATCAGATAGGTGTTTTGCAAATATTTCCTCCCAGTGCGTGGCTTGTCTTATTCTTTTAACAATGTTTTCCATAGCAGAAGTTTTTTAATTTTAATGAAACCCAACTTATCAACTTTTTCTTTCATGGATTGTTCTTTTAGTGTTATATCTACAAAGTCATCATCAAACCCAAGGTCACCTAGATTTTCTCATATCTTATATTCTAGAAACTTTATAGTTTTGCACTTAGGTCTACAATTCTTTTGTGTTAATTTTTGTGAAAGGTGTAAGGTCCGGTCTAGGTTCATTTGCTTTTTTTTTTTTGTATGTGGATGTCCAGTTAACCTGTTCCAGTATCATTCATTGAAAAGACTATATTTTATCCATTGAGTTGTCCTCACTTCTTTGTCAAAAATTAGTTTGCTATATTTGTACACATCTATTTCTTGGCTCTCTATTCTCATCCACTGATCTATTTGTCTGTTCTTTTGCCAATACAACACTGTCTTGATCACTGTAGCTTTACTACTATAAAGTCTTGAAATTAGGGAGTGACAATCCTCCTACTTACTTAATCTTCAGTTTTATATTGGCTATTCTAGGTCTTTTGCTTTGACATATAAACTTTAGAATAAATTTTGTCAATATACACAAAGCAACTTGCTGGTATTTTGACTAAGATTGTGTTGAATATATAGATCAAGTTTAGAAGAATTGATATCTTAACAACATTGAGTCTTCCTATTCATGAACATGGAATATCTTCCCACTTATTTAGATCTTTGATTTCTTTCATCATGGTTTTGTAGTTTTCCTCATCTAAATCCTGGACATATATTGGTAGATTTATGCCTAAATAAATTGTAGTGAGTTTTGATACTAACGTAAGTTGTAGTGTTTTGAATTTCAAATTCTAATTGTTCATCATTGGCATATAGGAAAGCAATTGATTTCTGTATATTCATGTTGTATCCTGCAATATTGCTATAATTGCTTAGTATTTCCAAGAGTTCTTTTGTTGATTCTTTGGGATTTTCTATATAGAACAAAGAAGAAAGTTTTGTTTCTTTCTTCCCAACCTGAACATCTTTTATTTCATTTTCTTGTCTTATTGCAGTAGCTAGGACTTTCTAGTAAAATTGTTCAATAGCAGCAGTGAAAGAAGACATCCTTCCTTTGTTCCTGATTTTAGGGGGGAAGCATCTAGTTTCTCACCTTTAGGGATAATGTTAGCTATAGGATTCTGGGTAAACATTCTTTATCAAGGTGAGAAAGTTCTCCTCTATTCCTAGTTTGCTGAGAGCTTCTTCATGAATGCATGTTGGATTTTGACAAATGCTTTTTCTACATCTATTGATATGATCATGTGATTTTTTTTCTTTAGCCTGTTGATGTAATGGGTTACATTAACTGATTATTGAATGTTGAACCAGTCTTGTATATCTAGAATAAATCCCACTTAGTTATGATGTATAATTATTTTTATACATTGTTGGATTCAATTTGCTAATATTTTTTTGAGGATTTTTGCATCTATGTTCGTGAGAGATATTGTCTGCAGTTTTCTTTTTTTTTTTCAGGTACACATTTTTTGGTGAGGAAGATCAGCCCTGAGCTAACATCTGATGCCAGCCTTTCTCTTTTTTTTTCCCCTGCCCAAAGCCCCAGCACATAGTTGTATATCCTAGCTATAAGTCATTCTTGTTCTTCTATGTGGGATGCTCCCACAGTATAGCTTGATGTGTGGTGTGTAGGTCTGCACCCAGGATCAGAGCTGGCGAACCCCAGGCTGCCAAAGAGGAGCATGAGAACTTAACCACTCGGCCATGGAGCTGGCCTTGTGTAGTTTTCTTTTCTTGTAATGTCTTTGTTTGGTTTTGGTAATAAGGTATGCTACCTTCATAGAATGGTTTAGGAAGTGTTTCCTCTGCTTCTATCTTCTGGAAGAGACTATAGAGAATTGATATAATTTCCTCTTTCAATGTTTGGTAGAATTCACCAGTGACCCTATGTGGGCCTGGTGCTTTCTGTTTTGGAAGTTATTAATTACTGATTCAATTTCTTTAAAAGATATTGGAATATTCAGGCCTATACAACAACAGCTTATTTATAAGGATAAAGATTATTTACAATAGATTATCTATTTCTTCTTGCATGAGTTTAGGTAGTTTATGTCATTCAAAGCTTTTGTCCATTTCATCTAAGTTA